TGGACAGAATGATTAAAATGGTTGGTTAGCAATCCACGGTGCTCCATCAGAAGGATGGGGAGATCGCTGAATGTATCGAAGTCATCGATGGGGCGCATTGTCAAGGAAAAGCTGCATTGCCGGTCCCATCACATGCAGAAGTGCCAGTTCCTTTCGTGCAGCAACAAGCAGCAGAGGGGCCAAAAAGTTGGAAGGTCACTAGCGCGCTTCACTGCCGACACGCAACTCTCGATCGTTTTTCCTGCCGAGTACATGCTCACTGTGGAGCCGGTGTTGAGTCGTCAAAACGACCACATTCTTAGTGGAAATATCGGTAGTGCCATCTCACGAGGAAAGATTGCTGGAAGAACGGCTAACCTGGCATCAGTCATGATTTGAAAGCTCTCATTTTCAAGCGGTGCGCGGATAGTTCTAATTTCTTCGAACTTGACCGTCAAAGTCAAAAATCCGCGCCCATTGGAAAGCTGCGTCGCGACGTTGTGCAACTGGTCGCATGCGGTGGCACGACGACCGGACAGTTCTTGTTTCCTTGCTACGTTACCCGGAAGGGGGTGAAGAGCATTCCCAGCATATTCTTCTTTGCGAGTTCAAGAAAGAAAGCAGTGCCAAGAAAACAGTCAGGAATATTGATAAATTATAGGAGAGGGCGCGCTAAGTTCGACTCAAGACAAGCGGTGGCTCTATAAGTTCCGTTCCGGCAGGTGCAGCTCGAGTGATGAGACTCGAGTTTCTGCTGCTACATTTCAAAAAGATTCTAAAGTAGTGCAAATCTGATATTTCCTGCCATTCGAAAGAGAGAGTATATATCGGACTAAGAGTATGAAACAGGTTTCTTGGCAAGTTTGGGGCTACATTAGTAATAGATTGTCACCAAGTCCAAAAAAATCATTTTGCGGCTTATGAGCTAGTAGTAAATCTTACTCGTAGCTAGGTATTCCGTTTCATTCGGAGTTTTCGCGAGGGCAACAACACCACCCTCCGTTCTGCATTGGCTGGTCGCCAGTGTGTATGTAGCTTGGGCTTGCTTCCTCGAGTAGCACCCTAAAGATTCAAGTGTGCAAGAGCGCGTTGTCAGCGATAAAGTGATAAAAAATGACTGCAAACCTGTTTCAGGGGTGTTCCGTTGCGGGTCTTCCTGGAATGAGTCGTACCCCTGACGGCAGAAGCAATTTGCTGGAACAGATGTTTTCACTGGCTAGGCTGAGAAAAACGCGAAAAAGAAAAGTAACCGCTGCACAATGCTTCACTGATCCCATTCCCTGCAAGGTCCGTAGTAGTGGAAAGAAAGTATCCTGGTGAAGCGATGGTCATCAATCTTGACTCGGGGAACCCGTGTTCTTCCACGTAATCTGTAACATCGATGAAAATTCAGGTTGGATACAAAAGCATTACTCTCCATATGGCCGATGTCAGACTTTGCGAATCGCGCGATAGCGTCCGCGTCCGTGGTTGCGGTACTGGTCGCGTTTACGGTACCAGGCGGGGAATTGAAAGTGGATTCAAACTGGCGGGCGAAGGCGGAACACGCACAACAGGACGGCGAGCGAATCGAGCCGGCGATTTGTAAAGTCTTGGGCCGTCTATCGCCTATTATACAAGCGTTTCAGATGTGGGGGTGTCTACGGACTTCGTGGTAAGCAAACCATAGGGATAGAGGTCGCACGAGTTTTTCCTACTGTTTCTTTTTGCTGTTTTTCACTACTGATTTGATGTAAGCCTGATGAAATGACGAAATGCTCTCGGATATGTGTATTGATAATTTTCCATATTCACGTTCGTAGTCAAGTAAACACGCCTGTAAACACGCCGTCAGACACCGTGATATGACTATAAGTGAGCCACAAATACAAACTTACTATAGACGACAAGCACTCCGTTATCCTCCTTGAATTGATCAGCGACTTGTTTGGGGTTGAATGCTCCGCCAGCACTGAATCATAGCGGACATTGGTTACTGTAGTTTCCTCTTGACTCTGATGTTGGGTCACTCGGTGAGGCCTCACCGAATAAAATACAGTACTAGTGAATTTCCCAATCTGTGTGCATTTGCAGTAAAAAGGGAGCGCACATGGTATTTGGAGGGGTTGCGTGACACTTCTACTTCTTCTCCATAGCGTTGGTTCCGCGCAGTCGCAGACTCCGGGACCATTGTGTTGGAAAACCGCTTGAAACACCTTCTGTTGCAAATGGACTCAGCCCTTGGCAGAGGAGGCGAAACCCCAGGGAGCGCGAGTCATTTTTCCCGGAGTGCTTACCCCTCCTGATTTAGTCCTAAAGGGTGCCCCGTATATTGCGGTAGAGCCCCGCTGCTTGTCAGCCGTTGTTCTATCCAAGGCACCTCACCGTGGCCTTGCGAGCAGTGAGGTCTTTCTTGATGACGTCTCTCCAGCTCTTGCTTTCGGGGTCCTCGCGGCGCTTGCCTTGCGCTTCGAAGTCCATTGCCATTTTTGCCGGATGTCCCCGTGGCCTTCCTTCTCCGTATCCATACCATCGAAGGCGCTAATCCAGGACCTTTAACGGGATTTGGATAGCGTTCGTGACCTCTCTGACATCATCGTCGGGCCGTGTCCAGCCGCATAGCCGCACAATACTTATCGCCAGCGAGTGTTAAGCCCCTGAGCTGCAAATTTGCGCAGAGCGGGGTTCAACCAAATGGCGCACACTCTGCACTAGTACAAACCTATAGGAGGTGGCCGAGAGCACGATGACATTTCTGGAATTTGGTCGGTCCATTTCCGTCTGGAACTGAAGTGCAGCCATGCGAAGAGCGCTGAAAAACGCTAAATCTCACGTGGAGATGATTAGAGGTTGGCATTTATGGTTAGACTCACTCTTCTAAATTAACTATTTGACTCCCGTAGTATGGTAAGGCTTCAATGTCGAGAAATTCATCACGCGTTAGCGATCCCAAAGGAGCATAGAGGTGCGCCGTCAAACCGTAGACGACCACTCCAATTCGCGTGCTCAGCTGAACTTGGCTAGATTAGGTACTACTGCTAAATGACTTCAATTGAGCAGCATATTTCGGGCGACTTGGGACACTGTGCAATCCGTGGCACTCATGTCATACAGACACAGGCGTCATCTGAAAACTACGTAATCTATCAGGCGGCCATGTTCTTCGTAAACAGCGTTTGAGCATCAACCTCTGGTTTTCGTGAGCATAACCTAACAAATATTCCTTTTAAACCTCAAATTAGCCGTATTCAGGGCACAATCACAAAATCCACCTTAGTGTATCAGTGCGTGCGAACCAGAAACAAAAGCTTAATAATTTCAACACAATCTACTCATATCTTAGTAAACAATGTCTAGAGCGGTCTTCTAACTCCATAGTTTTTTTTTCCTTGCATTTAGTTGAGAATCCTAAATTCTCCTATTCTTCTTACAAACCCTCACAGACAACTTTCACAGCGATAATCATGATAATGACAGTTGTCATGCATGAAACCACTTAAATTAATCGAGATCATGGGCAGTGCCACCGGTGCACTTACGAAATTGGGTGCTTTACTGTTCTTTCTACCTCAGGGTCATGTCACCTGAAATTCAGAACCCGGGCTCATTTCTGCCTCAGAGCGAGCTTAGCATAAGCCCAGGCGCATCATAGGCTACCCATGGGCAATGTTAACATGAACCTAGACCTAAGCTAACCAGCCTAACCTTAGGCATCGATGTTCACAGCTCCGGTGGCCTACCCAGGAGACGAACGAAGTCTCCCTTGTGAAGAAAAAACGTACAGGGAACAGCCACGTATCGAAGCGACCCCGAAGCGTAGAAACTATCCACAAGTATAAACGTACAGAGCGACGTGTTTGTCTTATGCAGTAGTCATCGCCAATAATCAAACAATTTATACATGAGAATTAGGAAGCAGATTGGAACGCTCAGGTACCTGAACATTTGTGAAAATCGCAACGTGAAATGCAACACGCAACAGTCGCCCTATTTCTCTATTTTGTTATGAAAGAATATTTCATTCTCCCTTTTTATCATAAACTATGTACCAACGCTTATATTTATAGCAGGAATATAACACCCTTCTTGTCGACAATTCCTAGAATTATACTGGAGATTAATCCGGGTAATATTAACGCCTCATTGGAAATTAGCTCCTGAATCTTTACTTATTTATTTTTTCTTCTCGCGGCTTAACTAACTTGCGTCGGTAGATGCACTTAGACTTCATAAACGCGCAAGTGAAGAATCCTTTACCTCGTTCTGCTTGAAGGCTTATATAATCCGCTCCACTTTCTTAGCTACTTTCCCAACCATTCTTCAGAATTCTCCCATGCCTTGAACGATATTACCTAAAATCTTACATACAATCTAGTGGATTCTCAAGTGTAGGAACCTTTCTACGAAAAATTTGAGATGTCCTATAATATAAATGCCTAATGTTTTTTATCCTCCTCACGGCAAGTCTAGATATGCGCCAACTGGCTCATTGAAATTGCATACAAACCGGCACCATCCAAACATTTCTTAGATGGAACCGCCAATATGAAGCAATTCTTAAGATTACCATTTCGGAATGCAACGTCAAGACCTGTTTGAGTAAATTCTCCTGAGAAAAGGTCCCATCCCTCTGATCTCTGCGATCTGCAATTTCTCCTACCGCCAATTTGTCCACATAAATAGAAAACAAAAGGGGACACATCGAACAAGGTCGGCCCTTCGATAGTTTTCCCTACTTTACTCCATAGAGCTCAAGCCCATCACGAACTTCTTATCAAATTATGACGCAAATTCCCACCTAATGACGTCCCTCCTTCCCGAAGGTAAAAAGGCGAACAAAAACAGCGCTCACCTGGTTGCTAGATGGATACGGTAGGATATTGAAATTGTAAAGGTTCGATTGCACGTTAGAGCAGCATTGAAATTGTAAAGGTTCGATTGCACGTGCGCCAGCATCTACAATGAAACGCATATATTTCGAAATCACACTACTTCAATGGATAAATAGCCTGATTTCAAGAAACCTTAACGTTTTTATGGGCCACATTTCGGTCAGTTACCTCTCCTCGTGGACGCGATGAAGTCAAAGCACCTTATGTCTGTTGAACTGACCTCTTGAAGCCCGTGCGCTGTGGTGGATTCCGTTGACTCAAAAACTAGCATGACGTCATTCCACGAAGTCGAGTAATTACAAGCGCACGATGAACCCTCAACATTGGGAGCGTTTGTCGGAGCAAATGGGAAAGGTGTTTTCAAGGCCTTTGTAGTCGTTCTTGTATTTGTGGGTGCCTTTGACGTTGTTCCATACTGCGGCGCCCGTGATGTTACCTTCTTAGCTGTGGTCGTCGTTGGTAGCTTCTTTTGAGTAGATGCCTTCACAGTTGAATGAACTTCTCTGCTTGGATCGCCTGAAATAACAGTTGTTGAGAGAAGGACATTCACAGCTGATTCAGACATGGACTTACAGTAATGAAAAATGGCGCAGCTCCTCTCCGCAATACAGTAATCCAGCTGAGGCGAGTGATTCAGTTCATCCACATCGACAGCGAAAACCGACTCTGCCGGGAAGTGTCTCCACGGATATTCCTTTCCACTGAGCGCGACCACGGTGATCGTAGCTCCCAAGTATTTTCTGACGTAATCACCTGCTTCAGAAATTTCTTCCTCGTCCCTAAACTACATTAATCACTGCTATTCTTTAGGCTCTAAACGTGCATGTCACCTACTCTGATCTCGAGAACAGAATTATCGCTTCTTCGTGTTCATACTTTGCAGCTACCCGTTCAAGCACCCTATAGAAAGCAGCTTAATAAGAACACTGTCAACGATTATATGAACAAATCCTTCGTGCCTTTTGAGGCTCTCCTTTCGGAGGCCTTCCTTTTTGACGAGCTCATCCAGTGCATCCAATTCTTCACAAGCATCCTTATGTGAGCTCACAAATCTATCTTCACTGTGACCCTTATAAGGGAAGCCAGTGAGCCAAAACGCAACCTTGAATCTGTCTTCAATGTCCAGCCTGGGTGTGAGTCGATCGCGCACAAAGGCCATCTCCTGAAGTCAAGTGTTCATTATTTTCACAAAGATTGCGAGAAAGCCCAGTTCAACCTTCTGAAAATCATGAAGCGACTTCATATGGCACGTTCCATCAATGACCATCACAGCAGCACCATGACATTGAAAGTACGGCGAGAAGACATGACAATCCGCTTCTGCAACTCAGTACCATCAAGCGATTCTTGGTACTTGTGCATTACTTCATCCCAGGTTTTCTAGCCACATCTTCTAGCGGTTTCGGTATGTAACGGAGTGATCCATGGCACTGCCTTAGGCCGATGTCATAGTTTGCGAATCGAGCGATTCGCTAGCGAATCGAACGTTGCACCAGCGAATCGAACTTTGCGCCAGCGAATCGAACCGATGCACCAGCGAGTCGAACTATGTACCAGCGAGTCGAACGATGTACCATT